TTTTTTTTTTTTTTTTTTTTTTTTTTTAAACTTTCTTTACTTTCTTTCTTGTCCTTAGTTTGATTTATCATCTTTTTCTTTTCATGCATTTGCACTGTCTCATTTTCTCTCACACGCACATGTACATATATACACACATGAATTTTTTTTTATTTCCTGATCTTTTTATTCGTAAAATTGTCTTCCTCCCCCCTGTCCTTTTCCCCCTCTACCTTCTTTTTTTCCTTTTTTTTGTTTTATTGATTTTTCTTGAATTTTCTTATCCACTTTTGCTACTTTAGTTCGTAGTTTCGAAGTTGCGTTGAGTAAAAGTAAAAAAGATGAACAGTGTGAAGGGTGTGGGAAGGGTTAGGGAAAAAAGGAGGAGGGGATCAATATCGAATTTCCAATTTTCTCTCTCACTCTATCTATCTCTATCTCTCTCTCTCTTTTATATAGATATTTTTTTCTTTTTATGTGTGATCCGTAGGGCGGACACGACCATGAAATTCTCGCGGGTCTCATCATCACGATTCTAGATCGCTGTACAACACCTTCTATCTCTATTTCTCTTTCTCATTTCATTCCGATTTTCTACGTGCAAGCAAGCAAGCAAACAAGGAAGGAAGGAAGTCAAGAAGAAGCAAGCAAACAGTCCGTTCACTTTTCCACTTCAATTTGATTGATTGGAAAGGATAGCAAAGTTTATATTTTTCTTTTTTTTTTTTTTCCCCTGGAAGGCTAATCAAAGTGCCACAAGATAAGAAAATGCGTTTAGATCAACCAACGTTTCTTCGGGATTTGTGATTCTTCTTTCTTATTTGTAGTTTCTTCTACAAGTTTTTTTATTTTTTTTTGGACACATTTTTAACAAATTTTCTCGAATAAAAATTAAATAAAAATCATATTAACTATCTTTCTATTTCCTATTTTATTTTATGTTTTATTTTTCATTTGACACGTAAGTTAACATTTTATTTTATTTTTTTTAATTTTACACATAAGTTAACATTCTATTTTATTTTATTTTATTTTATTTTTTACACGTAAGTTAACGTTTTATTTTATTTTATTTTATTTAATATTATTTTATTTTATTTTATTTTATTTTATTTTATTTTATTTAGTATTATTTTATTTTATTTAATATTATTTTATTTTATTGTATATTATTTTATTTTATTTTATATTATTNTTATTTTATTTTATTTTATTTTATTTAGTATTATTTTATTTTATTTAATATTATTTTATTTTATTGTATATTATTTTATTTTATTTTATATTATTTTATATTATTTTATTTTATTTTACTTAATATTACTTTATTTTATTTTATATTTGTTTTACAGATAAGTTCCCATTCTATTTAATTTTAATGTATTTCATTTTAATTGATTTTAATACATTTTCTATTTTATTTTATTACATTAGATACAAAACTACAAAATTAGTAATGCATCGTGCAACTGCAACTGCAACAGCAACAACAAAAGCAGAAAAAAGTAGTAATAGAAGAAGAAGTATAATAATAAGAAGAAGTAGCAACGGTGAGGATGAAAATAATAGCACAAAAGGTAGTACAACCGTGAAAGATTCAGATTTACAAGGGGGTTGGGGTGGATTGGTAGAAGGGGTGTAGAAAAGGGTAGAACAACGTACTGTTACGCCATTCTGCTTCCGGGACACTATTGGTAATTTATACTCGCATTATTGTTCTTAATTTATATCACGGTCCGCTGAATTCACAGTAAACTCGTGAACGTGAAATACTATACGTTAAACGAGCATACGTTAAAACCCGTTTCCCTCCCCCATATTTTACCCTTCCTCTTCATCCCTTATTTCTCATCCTTCAATCCTCACTCTTTTTCTCTCTCTCTCTCTCTCTCTCTCTCTCTCTCTTTTTATTCTTTTTTTTATTCTTACTGTTCTCCCCTTCTTTATTTACAACCCCCTTTCTTGATCATAAATAACGAAACAATAATAATTAAACTCTCATTTTCTTCATTTGTTGCATTAAAATTTTATTATTTGGGTGTTTAATAAAAAAAAAAAGAAAGAGTGGAGGATTTATTTTAAGGTTGCATTTTAATTTAAATTTTTCTTTTTGTTTCTTTGGAATTTTTCTAATTGTTACGTAGAATTAATTGTACTATTTTTGCGTATCAGTTGTTACACGAGTATCGTTAAGATTATTATGACAATTATCGACAAATCATTTGAAAAAATATAGTGTTGCAGTTTGCAAAGATATTTTTTTTTCTTTTCTTATTTTTTTTATTGTTGTTTTATTCAAAAAATATATTAATAAACGTAAGCTCACCTGATCGATGATTTCCGTGAGATCGTGAAGACTTATGTTGTAAATGGCATTTCTGAAAAAAAACCAAAAGTATCAAATGTGTAAATATGTTAATTAAATATATTATTATTATTATTATTATTATTATATTTTAAATATAGTATAATAATATATTTATATTATTATATTACTATATTAATAATATTATATTAATATATTAATTATTATAATTATATTATATATTCAATTATATTATATATATATATTAAAATACAAAAAAATTTTGTTTTAATAATTAAGTACACCCTGTGTATATATATTTCACATAATTTTATCTTTAATTTTATCTTTCGTTAATATAAAAATAATTTTTTTTTTTTTTTTAAATAAACCAAGAAAATGCTGCGTCATGTTTCCGACTTGAGGAAGGAATTTAGTTGTACAATCGTTGTTGATTGGTCGATAAGAAAAACTTCCGACACTTTGTTAACAATCGACCCTGAACAAATCGATCGATAGATCGAAAGAACGAAAGATCTTTTGATCTCATTCGATTTCTCGATCAACCGATAGATAGATAGATAGATAGATAGATAGATCGATATGAATCTTGAATCTCGGAACACTCAATGCTTATAAGAAAAGACTGAATCAACGGGTTACACCCTAACCCTTCACCCTTCCAAACATCCTATAACTATCGTAGTAGTCACGAACTACGATAACTCGTTGTTGAACGTATCAACGAAATCGAGAAAATAATCGAATGAATTATTGTTCAAATTACCTTGCCCCGATCAAGATTGAAGTTGACACACGTTCCAGTAACTTGAAGTGTTCCACGTGGCTTTCGTTTCCTAGAAATCTTTGTCCAATCACCTCACCTGTAATCAACGCAATAAGAAAAAATTTAATCAATTTTTTTGTTCTTTGGTACTTTGGAAAAGAAAGAAAAGTTAAATAAAAAAAAAGAAAAAAACATTAAACAAATCTTATTTCCTAATTTCGTTTTCATTCTATTGAAAGGTGAATCAAAATATTCGTGTGTGTTTTGTGTATTTTTCTATATTAATATATAAATTATTTTATTAAATAATAATAATTTAATTAAATAAATTTATTATAATATATTCAAATAATAATATAAATAATTTTATATATATTAAAATATATATACATTATTTTTTTATTTATTTTATTTAATTTTATATTTAAATATATATATTACTTTTTTATTTTATTTTATATTTAAATATATATATACTACATAATATATATTTTTTAATAATATATATTTTATGTAATATATTTTATAATTATTTTATATATATTTTATATAATTTATATTTATTTTATATAATTTATATTATATATAAAATATATTATACATTATAATGTTATAAAATTATTATATGTGCAATTTAAAAAATTATAAATATAATAAATACCATATATGTATTTATAATTTTATTGACTTCAAAAAAAAAAAATAAAAAATTGTTGCATTAATTTAAAACAACATAATAAAACTTATAAACATTTAATTAACCCCAATATTACTAGGCTTAAAAAAAGTAACCAATAAAATCGATCAACATTATAATAAAAAGATAACCAAACAAAATATTAAAAAATAGGAAAAAAAGGGAAATGTTAAAAGAACCCTTTTCTTCCTTTCTCTCTTCTTCCCTTTATCCCTTCTTTGGCCCTTTAATTCTCATAAGAGACGATAAAGAGCATCGGTCCGCGTCTACTTTGCAAGTCCACGTTGGAGAGGTTTTTCAACCCCCTTCTCCATTCTATATCATCACCGTACCAAACCAACCCCCTCGTTTCTCCCTTCTACTATACCTTGCCGACAACCAACCCTTCCCTCTCCCTCTCTGTCTCTCTCTCTCTCTCTCTCTCTCTCTCTTTCTCTCTCCTGTTCTCAATCTTTCTACCTTTTGCACGATATAACATTTTACGAGCGCCATTCTTTATTCTCGCTTTACTTTTTCTTTGTCGCTTTACTTTTTTTTTTATTTATTTTTCTTTTTCTTTTTTTTTTCCTACCACCACCACCACCACCACCACCACCATCCTCAGCCTTTTTCATTTTTTATTTTTTTATTTTATTACACACTTCTTTTTCGTCTACTTCTTCTTCTTCTTCTTCTTCTTTCTCTTTTCAACCGCAAATATTATACGACTTGTTGTTGTTGTTGTTATGCCGTTTCTGCTGCATTTCTCTCTTTCCATTCGTTGCATTTATTTTCCCTCCTCCCCCTATTCCGACAAACACCAAAAAGGTAGTAGGGGGAGGGAAGGGAAAGGGAAGGGGTGGGTGGGTGAGAAACAAGGAAAGAAGAAAGGGGGAGAGAGACACGTAGACATTAAAGGCTCGACGTAAAATAGAAGAAGAAGAAGAAGAAGAAGAAGAAGAAGAAGAAAAAGTAGGGGTTAGAAATGGGGGTTTTAGTATGGAGATGGGGGATGAAATGACGAACGAATCGTGTGTGGACGTGGTTTTATTCTCATTTCATGCTATTCTCTTGTTCTCTTTCACTTGTTTTTTCTCTCTCTCTCTCTCTCTCTCTCTTTCTTTCTTTCTCTCTTATTCTTTCTCATATTTCTCTGTTGTAGTGGTAGAAATATCGCGAATTCCCCCCCACTCTCGTATGACTTTTAAAACGAGAAGAGAAACGTTCTTTTCGTTTTACGTTTGAAAATTATCTCGAAACATGTTGAGATTTTTCTTTTGAAAAACCAAAAAAAAAAAAACAAGAAAAAATAGTATATGAAAGATAACTTCTTACACCCCCTATTTCTACCCCCCTTCTTCTGATATTTATAAATTTATAATTTTTTTTTCTCTTTCTCTTCTTTCTATCTTTTTCGATATTTGTCTTCATTCAGTTTCCTTTTCTTTTTTTTTTCTGTTCCTGCATTTCCTACATTTCCTGTCGTTATTGTTGTTGTTGTTGTTGTTTTTGTTGTTTTTTGATTATTATTTGTTATTTTTCTTATTCTGACTTCATTCTTTCTCTTGCTTTATTTCATCTTTTTCTTATTTCAAAAAGAGGAAACTTCCATAATTTTTTTTTTTTTTTTTTTCAAGAGTAAATATTAAAAGAGAAAGATGATAGGAAGAGACGACGGTGTGGATGGAGTATTTAAACAAAACAAAATATATAAAAAAATATTAAAAAAGAAAAAAGGGGGAAATCTTGAAAGATTGACTCCTCCTTTGTCGGCTACTGATTTATTTAAATGTTTATTTCTATTCTTATTCTTGTTTATCTTTGTTTATTTCCCCAATGTTCTCTTCATTTCATTTCGAATTATGCAATATATGTTTTTTTAAGATATTAAGACAAGATTTGTTATCATAATACAATATATATTTAACTTAAATTAAGTTTAATTTATTTACGAATAAACAATATTATCATTTTTATTATTATTATTATTATTTATTGATTTAATTAATTAATCATTTAATTTCGTTCTATGATGTGTTGATAGTATTTTTTGTGAGGGTCTGATAATTGTGAAGGTAGTGTTGTAAAGCAGAAAAATTCTTTTATAAAAATCATTTTGATTAAAAAAAATAGAATAAAATAAAATAAGAAAAAAATGTGTTGCAAATATTGCGCCATTTATTTATTGGACAAGAAACAAATCATTGCAAAATACGATTTCGCGTTAAGTTCTGCAACATTTCATATTGTACTTTTACAGTAAATTTTATTGTACTTTTACAGTATTACTAATCACCAATTTCACGCTTTCATCGATACTACAAGTTCGATTCGAATAAGATTTCATGTTTTTTTTCTTTCTTACTATCGAGAAATAGAAGCAAAAAAAAAAAAAAAGAAATAAATAAAAGGAAGGAAAAGAAGAGAATGTGAAATAAAAAAAAAAAATTAAAAAAAAAAAAAGGAAAAAAGGGTTCAGTTCTTACAGCAACCGGCAAAATAACTTTCTAGTTCGAGGCATTTCCGCGTTTTGGCCTTTTCCTGCGCGTATTTTACTTAAAGCTTTAAAGCTTCAAAAGACCGTCTAAAGTCGGTGGTGGGTGCTTGAAAAAAGTGTAGGGAAAACTGCACCAAGTAAAAGGAGAAAAGAGAAAGGGGGTAAGAGTTGTGTGCAAAAAATGAGAAAGAACGGTGAAAAAACGAAATAAGAAAAGAAAAGAAGGAAAGAATAATAATAACAATAATAATAATAACAAAAAGACTAGAAAGAAATAAAGAGGGGGTGAGGGGACACATTTATTGTATAAAAAAATTAAAAAATACATTAAGGAAAAATCAAATCGTTGTTGGTGAGATTGTAAAACTAAATTTACAATTCCAATAAAAAAAAAAAAATAAATAAATAAAGAAGTAAATAATCCAAATTAATTTGGCAATTAATTAAATATTATTTAAATATTTATTTCGAGATTAAATCAAATTAGCAACTTTTTATTTGGAAAAATATTTTTAAGATCGAAAATAAAAACAATTAACGATAAATGTGATACAAAAAAAAATCAATAAACGTAAAATACAATAAATCAAAATCAAAAAGCAAATGTAGCAGAAAAAAATAAAAAAATAAAACAAAAAACCAAAATGAAATTAAAAAACGAAGTACGATTAAATACTGTACAATATTTTTCATTCGTACGAATAAAAATAATACAATAAGAAAAAAAAAAATATATATATATATATATAAAAACAATGTTCGAAATATCAAATCCTAAAATGAAAAAGAACAGAAAACTAAAAAGTAAAGAAAGATAAATGGCGAATATATATATATATATATATATATATATATATATATATAGATGGTAGGTGAAAATTTTCGAATAAAGGATAAACTAAAAGAAAGAAAAAACACAGAAAAAGGAAAAATTTCCTACGATTATAGGACGAAACGGTGAGTGAGTGAGGGAGGGAGGGAGGGAGTTAGAAGGGGGAAGGAAGGAAGGAAGGGCTCGATCGTAAATCTTTTTCCCGTTCCGAGAGGGATCGTCTCGAAGCCGATCTCGAACGAACGATTTACGAGCCCGATGTCTATTAATTTTACATCGTGCGTTTTACGATAACACGTTGAATGGTTACATTGTGTATTGGTGTGTTGGTATACTAATACAACTACTACTACTACAATCAAACGATTTAAACTCTGAACGCAATCCTTAATACACACACACACACGCGAATATTTTACATGTAATACGTGAATATATATAGGACAATCATATATGTATGTACACATACAGATCACATACACATATACATGTGTATTTATCGTGTATTCCATGGTAAATGTGTGTAACATCATAGTAAAGTATTTATCGATACAAAAGGAACAAATTTTATCGAAATGCGAAGTGTTCGTATGCACAATTGTAATGGTGAGAAAGAGAAAAAGTGGAAAATGGTAGGGTGGTGGAATGGGAGAAAGGTGAAAAGGTTCACTTTACTCGTTCTTCGTGCATACACACACATCTACACAGTGATATACATACGTGAACTACTCACGTACCCACGTCCGACATTAGAAATGATTGAAGATTGAATTTTAAATTGGCTATCGACGATCGGACGTTCTCCGTTTTTCCTATATATATATATATATATATGGAAATCTATCTTACCCGGGGGGAGGGGGAGAGTTAAGGAAAGGGGGTTTACATAATTAAAAGGAACAAAAAGAAAAAGGAGTAGTAAAAATAATTAAATTTTTTTTTTTTTTCTAAAGTTGAGACTGAAGAGTTTGTTATTAGGATAGAATAAATAAATGATTTGGTTTTTTTTTTTTTTTTAACAAAATTGTGTAGGTAAGAGTGATTAGAAGAATTATATTATATATATATATTATTATTTTTATTAAAATAATT